CAACAGAAATACGGCTCGTGGGGAAGTCCTCAGGCGACTTTTTCCAACAGACCGGCTAAACTTATCTCCTTCGTTTCTGTCACGCTCCATTGTAGCTCCTGTTGCTAAACGAAAATCCAATCCTCTCAATGTTCTTTGCTGTTCCTCGTGGTTATCTCACGCGACTATGCGTCTTTTGTTTGTCTCTTTTGTGTAAGTAATGCGTCCCTGGGCACTTGCGCTGCCCGCGCGCTGTGCTCCTCTACCCAATGGGGAGAACAGAAGCGATCACAATGCGGTGGGCGTACCCACCCCTTCTCCCCCTTCTCCTCTTCTCCCTCCGTCCATTCTGCGCCTTCTTTCGTCTTCCGGCCGGAAGTGCGCCGGTTCCGGCGGTCTCTCGGACCACCGGGCGGTAGATGCCGCCCTGACGGTGGTACGGTCGGCCCGTTTCGCGTTGGGACGAGGCCCCGGAGACCACTGACAGGTTACAGGACTGGGCCGGGACGGATCCCGGCTGTACCCGGTCACCTGATAAGTCGACTACACAGTCTGACGAATAGTGTGAACTCCGGGGATTGGGCCGTGCTGTGTTCAAAGTAACCCACGACATTCTTAATTGATGCCGAAGGTTAATTTGTTTTTTAAGCGGCGTGCTGCATTGTGATGATTTCATTAGCATACACTCTGCTGCAGTTGTCAAATAAGCTATTTTTCGGGATAGTGAGCGCAACTCTCTTATGGCTGTATGCTTTTGGAACCAAAGACGAGTGGTGTATCACACGGCTCTGGTCAGTCCGGAACCGAATGGATGGCTCCTTTGGGAGCCCGCTGGAGCTCAGTTACACTGTCCGAACCGAGCCAAACAGCGTGTTTACTACGAATGTCGGGGTAATTTGATGGGGAAATTCACTTAAGGAAAACAGTAATCTTTGTTGACGTTCAACGCACGACTTAAATGGTAAATACTGTAGCAGTGACGCACATTGCACGGTGTAGGGCTGCGTGATCAAATGGCTGCATCTGCTATGCGACAGCAAAAGACGTATTTCTCACCGCATTGTGTGACAGAAAATATATTGCCGGGCACGTTTCTACGAGCCGCCAGCTGCCAGCTGCTCGGGCATGCTTTTACGTCACGAGCGGCCAACCGGTTTCGACTAGATCACACTCCTGCCACTAGATGGCAGCAGCAGTAACGCCTGAATGTATGCTGTGCCGCGTAACACCTCCGTGGTGCGCGGTTAGGAATGTCCAGATAAGAAGTCATTTCATATTACTTCAAATACACATGCGCGCGCTTTGGACTGTTGTACTGGTTCATTATTCACTCACGGTGCTATCGCGACCCTCTGACAATTTCCGCCCTGTCGGCCGTCTCCTAACCACGGTGTTCCGCCATTTCGCGGCGAGATCGCTGCGTAGAACATGAGTTTAGTCGGCCGAGAGAGCAGACGCGCGTTCCCACGCTGATATGTCGGTTGGATGCTGCGAACCACTGAAGCAGACAGCGAGTGGAATCCTATGAAACTGGGCTGTCGGATTCAGCAACATTGACAGAAACGCTGAAGAAGTTGCAGTGGATATGACAGCAAAGAGGGCTGTGAGTTGACTGGTCAGTGATGAGCATGCTTATGAGTGATAACAGAGCGGCGGTACTCATTAATACAGCTAGGAAAGATGTTCCACGAGCTTTTTATAGTGCTAAAACAGCTGCAAAACATTTCAGTGCAGTTCGGTAGTAACTCACAGCTAGTTCTGAAACAGCTCCAAAGCAGAGCAGCTCTGAAGCAGCTCTGGTATCTCAAGCAGCTCATAAGCAGTTCAGATGCAGTTAAGAGCCGGGCGGGTCGGGTTGGCCGTCCTCCGGCCGTCCGGCGCACAGTGGGCCACATCCGCCGGCTGGCAGCGGCCCCCGTCCGCCACGTGTCGCTCTGATGTACCGCCGACTGTTAGATTCATGTGTGTTTATTTTCGGCGAGCGCCGGCCAAGTTTTTCGCCGGTATGTCGGCCGGCTTTTTATGAGTAGTTTCGGACCATTTAGAAAAGCTGGGTGGGCACTGGCTCGGCAGCTTAGTGTCCAGTTAGTATGACAGTAGATGCTCTACCACTTCCGAATGTGGTAGACGCAGATCTGAGGGATGTAGACGGAACCATTTGCAGAGGCTGAAATCGGGACAAGCCGCTTCAGGTCTGATGAATGGCGCCTTTCTCACAAGTTGAAGACCATCGAAGGATTGGCAAATATGCTGTGTGGAAGAGAGGAAATGGTCCGTGAAATTGACGTTTTGACGACCCATAGAGGACAGTTATCTCGGAATCCGTTCCGTTCCCGCAGCCCTTCCTTTTCATAGATTTCGCTGCGAGACAGTACCACAATTCACGTAAGCGAATTTCCTTCCTGACATTTCATTCGGACAGCGATCCAATTCAAAGTTCCCTGATTTTATTACTCTCGTATCTCCTGAAACATCAATGAGATGGCTGTGTCTTCCGCCAGCTCCTGGCTCATTCTGCAGCCTTTGCGAGACACTGGAACCTTCTGTTGCTGCAATCTGCTGAACACATGTCATCTCTTGAATTCATTTGCTTCCTGCACTCCAATGCTTCGCATAGAGCACGGCTTTCTTGCTCTGCAGTCAAGGTTCATGACGCTGCATCGCCATGTGCCACGCGAGGTCCTCCTCGCTAGACGCCAGACCTGGACCGACTGGCATTTGTCACACCCTGCTCGTTCCAAAACATCCAGCTCCACCTAGCTCATACGAGTAGGTACGCTCGTGCTGGCTCACCCAGTCCACCGGCTCCGTCCACCGTCCACAGTACCGATCCATCTGACCTGGCCCGTCCACAGCACGGGTCCACCTGGCCCGTCCACAGCGCGGATCCACCTGGCCCGTCCACAGCGCGGATCCACATGGCGGCGGCGCCATCCACCTGTCGTGGCCGGAGCTCGGATCCACCTGGCTTGCGGCGCTGCCGTATTCGGATCAATGCCAGCCAGCCCTCCCGGGGGACTCGGGCGGATGGCCGGTGCGGTGGTCACGCCAGTGGTGTGCAGAATTCAGCAGCCCTCCCCCAGCAGCCCCTCCCCTCCAACGCGTCACGAGTCCACTTCCCAGCAACTTCTGTGCGCCGCTTCTGACGAACAAAGTTGAGGATTTCTGTCCGAGCGTTGGGCTGCTAAGCATAACTTTCGGCCTGCTATGGACGCTAATGAGACTCTTGACTGTCGGGCCATGCCAGCGTCAAACGCCAGAGCTCGGATTTGACAGCATCGTGACGGCCGTCACACGGTGGAAACGTGCAGCTCTGACGTATGTCTCCTGTCACGACACTGAGCAACATGGCTGATGCCGTGATAGAAATACTCAGCGGTATTCGGAAGGAACTTCAAATATCGAAACGAAATCCCTACTTACGTAACATTTTGCTCAGCAACGTTTTTGTCTATCTTCATTTTAGGGATTTTCTCATATCGAAGAGCACTTTCAGTCGCTGAGTCGCTATTTACTAACGAGCCTCTGCCTTTTGTTCATTTTATCCTCCATCCTGCCTGCAGCCTGCAGGAGCACCTTTATCCAAAGTCCTCCAATCAGTCACGTACTCCACCTCTTCGCCATTGGTCGGGCTTCGAGAAAGGGCGCCATTAGTGGCTTGATTGTGACGATGTGCGCGCCACAGAGCACTCGTGCTCGTTCGGAAGATTGAGAGGCAGGCAGGAGAGCTCCCAAAGACCAATGTGGGTCCCGGAGCGGCCCTTGCGGCGAAGAAAAATACACGTTGGCCGACTGGCGTTTCTGGTCGTCGTAGCAGTTCTCCGCCACCCAGCGCTGTCCTCGATTCGCCCGTCCGCGCCGCGCGACCCGTCCCCGAACGATTGGTATTTGAACAGCCCGCCCACGGCCGCACAAATTGCTAACCAGTTCCGTGACACCCATTCAAACGGTGACCGACAGGCTGAGCCCAAATCGCCCGCCGCGCGCTGACGACCCTGGGAGCAGCGCACCGTCGCCCACCACCAAGCACTCGAGCGTACGGCCCCGCCGCGGAATCAATCGACCCCAGGGGTACGGGGATTCGCCTGGCCGGTCGGCCGTCCTATTGGGCCGCTGTCTGTCAGAAAAGCTGTCGACCCCGCAGTCGACCGCGGGCCAGTCAGCCTCGAGCCGCTCGGGAGCAGAGCTGGGCGCTGACTCGGAATGTTTGGAGGCCGGTCAGATTTATCGCCGGCCCGGGGACGACCGCCGCGCCTCTGGCCGGGCCCGAGGGTGGTCCGACTGTTGATGGAAGGCCGCTGCCTCCGGGAGGGGCGTCTCCCCAGCGCGCGGCAGCGGCGGGCAGCGTCAGACGAGCCGGCGGACGACACTCGATACACGCGGCCGTCCCAGCGCGGCGGTCCCCATACGTGGCATCATTCTCGCGTTAATGGCCTGAATTGTGCCGAACACATTACCGGATGATTGCGTCGCCGATGCGTCGGAAAGCCCAAAAGGAACGATCCGAGCGCGGTGCCGCTCCTCTCAATGCAGACATGCAGCTCTCAATGCGGCATTGCAGCTCTCCATTATGGACGGAATCTCCCTTTGAAGCTGTTGCTGCGGAGGGTGTGGTGTGGGTTTCCGAAGCTGGTGCGCTCCAACTCTGCGGCGACGGGAGATGAATCTCGGTATATTAATTATTGAGCTCGGCCTCCCCTGATATTGAGCTTCAGCAGCCCACTAGCCACCTCTGCCTGTGTTGTCGAAATCCCGTCCGGTAGCTCCAAAGCTCACCCAGCTGAATGCACCTTCAAACGAAGGGACAATAGGGGCGGAAGCACGCATCGCCTGGCTCCCTCAAACACAGGCAAGTATCGCAGAAATAAAATCATTAACGAAACCTGCAAAAACATTCTCACGAAATACAGCGTCGTTAAACGTTTACAAGTTGTTTTGATATAATAAGTTATGTTGTTGTGAAGTTGTTCAAATTCTGCTTGGGATCATATTATACTTACGACCGTTTTGCCTCTTTTCAGGATGATACGATCCGGGATGCCGGCCCACCTCGTAAACGGTAAGATTTATGTGGTTGCGGCGATAAATTGCTGTTGGCCGAACCCGTGGGTGGCCGAGCGCGGAATATTGTCAGATGGAGACCAGTCGCAGTAATATTCATGACAGTATCACTGTGTGGACTCTGTGGAGCTTGTTGTTTTACATCTCCATCAGACTGTTACTAAGCAAATACCCACGGATGCATCGCGGATGCTATTTGATTTTCCGCCACGATGTTTTATGCATGGTCGTGTGATTCAGTTGTTTGATATACTCAATGCAGACATCACAACAAGTTGCCAGCCAGTGCCGGTCGGACCTGGTCCGGACAGGTGTATCGACGCCCGCGGAGAGAGTTGGGGGGCGGCTCCGGTCACAGAGGTGTCAGCGGCGGTGGGCCTGATCCACGCCCTGGCAGCGATACCGCTGGTGATTTGGGAACCCGGGAACGTCCTACCCCCCGCGCGAGACATCTGAGTGCGCTAATGTGACCTGGCTCGTACCTTACCTGCTCAGAAAGCGCGCTGCGAAGTCGCAGAAATACCAGAGGCCACCCGACACTCCCTGAGCCTATCCCAAACACAGTGCACGTTCTATGTGGCGTACGGACGCGGAAAATGGAGCCGACATTCGTGCGGTGGGTTACTAAGATGTCGAATTGTCAGTGTGAGCACAAACAAGCCAGCACCAGCAGAACAGGGCCTGAAATTGATCCGGCCAGTCTTTCTTCGCTTTGAAACTTGAAAGGTAAATGAAGAGAGCCATTGGTGATGTTAGTGAATAAAAAATGAAATGAAATGAAAGAAATGCACTGAACTGATGGTATAAAAGCATTAGGTATAGATGTCCCTGTTTTCACAATTAATTACAAATATAATTATTTTTCGTCTGTTAATTACCAGAGACGTGTCTGGGACACCTGCAAGGAAGCTAGTGGAGCATCATTAATGTCTAGACTTTGCCACCTGCACCCCGTAGAATACGGTGTCAGCATCGCTCCTCCGCCAACTACGAATAAATGCTGCATTTAGTGAAATTTGTCAGACATTTAGAAACAAAAGAAATTGTAATTTTACCAGAAATACTGCGAAGCTAAAAGCAATGTTTTTAAAAGCAGGTGCAAGGAAAGATGGCCTTACTTATGCAAGCTCTCAACCAGCTATCGTAAAGTCATATAAGCCTCTTCTTTGCTTTATTGTCACTTGAATGCCACATATTATTTAAGCGCACGGCAGCTGAAGCACCTGATATAACGAGTACCTAAATTGAAATTTAACGGATATAGTTTCTTTATTTTATATTTTTATTTAAAAGTTAGCTTTTCTGAACGTTGGAAAGAAACAAATATAATGTATGTAGAACTAATCGAAGGACTTCATAAGGACTTCAGAAGCGGGCTCAGGTAAATCACCGCATCCAAATGGCACAGCGAGAAGCCATAAAATTGCAGGCAACTATCAGCCAGTCCAGTCTATCTGAACGCAGCTTTCTGATGTTCTACCCAGGGTATATTGAGTGAAGGGTAGGACGAACTTTGGTAGGAATTTCTAGTATATCTACTAGAAAACCTACTATATGTGGTCGGGACTAGCAAAAAGTTAGTTCAAACTAGAATATGGTAACGCTTATGGTTGGCAGTTGTGACGCGCACGTGACATTCATTTCTTAAATTTCTAAAATAACAGGTTTTAGGGGCCGATTAGTGGGCAGATACATTCAATTAGCTATTAATAATTGATTATGCAAACATTCAAGAATATAAATCATTCAATTCTAGCCAAAATCATGCGGCGCTCCCAGGATTCGAACTCACGACCCTCGCATCCGTAGCCCGATACGCTACCGACTGCGCTACCGAGGACCGCGCGCCGACGATCGGAGAGGCGGATCGCGGGTGCTGGCGTGCAGATAAATCTTTACCCTGTACGCCGTAGAAGATCGGCTGGGTTTCGTGAAAAATGGTAGAGGAATTATCGAAAGAAAATTCATAGATCTATCATTTGAGACTAAGAACCATTGATTCCTTCAAAGGTTGACCGAGATATCGCTCGCTGAAAACAGGCCATTTAACATGCAAACCCTATGGGCTGGTAGGAAATGTACGCCGTGGAGCAGCAGTGCTACCAACTAACTTCGGCGGGGGCCGAGTTCTACCCAGCAATGAACGACTATTCCGTTGCTGCAACATCTGTCCTCTCCCAAGCAGCATCCCCTCATGCTGCAGGCCATATGAGCCCATAAGGCTGGAATCTGTTAATGCCGAGGGATAAACTGGAGCGTCAGAGTGGTAAACGGGCCAGTGACGGGCGGTGGAACGGCTGGGTCGCCTCCGCGACCTATTCAAGAAAAAGAACGAGGAAGGAACGGGAACCATCCAAACCCCCTAAGTGCGAGGGTCAAAACACTGTTGATCTGTTGACCAATGACCATATCCTCCATAGTTTCTGAAAAGTTGCATCTCTTATGTAAGATTTGGGAAAGATGCTCTCTTCGTCGTTCTAGCTATCAATCTCTATTTGAGGCTGATCACTCTTCCAGCAATGATCCGTGTCTGCATTTTTCTGTTCGCGTTTTCTCATTCTGTTTATGTCGCCTGTATGGCGAGGGGCGCCGTCGCCAATGTTGGCGCTCATTTCTCTCCATTCGGCTGACAGCTGTAAATCCGGGCGTCTGGGGAGCCAATCAGCGCCCGCAGAGGCGATCGTGACGCGGCGAACTGCGCCACTGCCGCCGCTGCGCCGCTGCACGCCTCGTGCTCAGCTGGCGCCCGGTGCCAGCTGTTTGCTCCATTAGCATAGTGCAAACGAATGCCTAATTGGAGTTTATCTTCCGGTCCGTTTCAGATGTGAAGAGCGTCTGCATCTGCCTCCGCATTTTTGCGTGAGAGATGTGAAATAGGAAGGAAAATGGAAACTAAGCTTCATAAATTGTAGCGAGGTTATTATTGCATTAGTTTAAGCGTAGCCATGACATTCGCAAGATGTATTTCCATGTGCGTTTAGGATAGCTGCAGTAATAACGCAACATTATGGGGCCATCTGTCACCAGACACAGGCAGCATGAAGCTGACAAAGACCAAGACCAAGGGAAGGATATTTTCAAATGATAATGCTTTAGCAGTACTTTATTGTGGATGCTGAGAAGCTCGTCTCAACAAACACACAGTCTCAGTCAAATCGTTCAGCGTCACACGTAATAGCGCAACAACCTTCAGCAAATGCGAAGAGAAAAAAGGCACGACTCTCCCACATATCCACACGGCTAGGCCTTATCACAGGCTAGTGGAAAAGCCGACCGCGCTTATGTGCTCGTTGTCGACGGTCTTTCAGCTGAAATAGGTGACAGTCCATAGTGCATATCGGGTTTCCATCGTTTCCCGTTTCATCCAGCTTAGCGCTCCGAGTGGGATTCTCTAGTTTGATGGACTGCAGAGTGCAGCCAGATGATTTAAATCGCTCCCGTTAAATGTTAACCCGCGCCCTGCTGGGGGGGTGTTTGAACACCCCCCTTGTGGTTTTTCGCGAATACATATCTCAAAAACGGCGGCGCTCCGCGCCGCCGTTTTTGGTACACCTTATCATACATCAATTCTACACATGTTATGAAAATTTCAGACCAAGGTCATTCAAGGTCAGGTCACCAGGTCACTTGAAGTGACCTCACCTCATAAAAAGTTTCAATGTCTGTCATAGCTACACCGAGTGACCGATCGCTTTGAAACTTTCAGCGATTGCTAAGAGCAATAGCATGTACAAAATGTATATCTCAGAATTTTGATATCGATGACCTAAGGTCAGGTCAATTTTGCGACCTCCCCATTATAAGTCAATGGGAGAAAATTGAAATGCGCCTCTTTTGGACGAAAGACATTATAAACACTCCCAAACACTGAATTACAAGTGGTTTAGACACACTGAACATGAAAATGGTGTCCGTGACCCCTGTTTATGCCCTGAGGTCATCTTAGGTCACGAATGGTATCTAACAGTTTTTCGCAAATAACTTTTGATAGAGGCATGCTAGAGCGATGTAAACGCCTTAGATGTGTTCAGCTCGACGATACAGATCGACTGATATGCAACATGACCCTTTCCGTTCAGGTCATGACCTTGACCTGAGGTCAAATTTTCAAGTTGACCTTTCAAGGTCAAGTTATAGTTCATTCGATGCGTCTTGACGAGAGGAACACGATGCCGGTAAAAGTAAGCTCGTACAAGGCTTGGGTCAAAAGTTATTGCAGAAAAACTGTTTCCGAAAAAAATCGGCTGTTTTTGCAGTTTTTGCCCCCTGCAGGCAAAACCGTTGACGTTAAATCAAATCTGAGAAAATTATTCAGAAAGGGCGTTAATAGGGCTATCGAATGCGCTTTTCCGCGGCGCTGTAGCTCTATTGGTTCCCGAGTTATGCGTTGGCTTCTTGGAAATTGTCGACATTCGACCTAGAAATCGGCGAAATTTTGCCTTCAATGACCTCTGGTGACCTGACCTTTGACCTGACCAAAAAATTGACCGAAGTGATTTCGTCATTATTTTTGACGCTCTTTCGAATGCCGCCTTCCGCGTATCGCTACGTGGCCCAGGAGCCGAGTTAGAAGGGGGGGGGTGTTCAAACACCCCCCCCCCCCCAGCAGGGCGTGGAAATCCAGGACCCCCAGCCGGGCGCGGGTTAACACCTAGATAATAATGCAACTTGACAGAACTGGTAACTTCATGGCCTACGCTTGTATCTGGAAGCCCGATACTTTTGTCACAATTGAAACGAATGTAATCTATGCATGAAGTATGGATGGACAGTGGACACCTGTTCCATTCATGTGCGCCAAATTATTTTTGACGACCTACGACCTTATTAGTAACCAGCTGCGCAATCGCCTGAAGTAGTCTAATGTTATAACTAACTTATTTTAAAATATAACGTAAATAAAATTCCACACGATTGATGCCAATCGTTAAATGTAACTCTGGCGCCGTCGTCGTCGCCGCTATTGATCTGACTGGGAATCGTTCTGTGTTTCAGGAGGGATTTTGAGCCGGAGAAGCCGAACCATATCCTCCTGATGACCGTGGTCAACCCCGTCTATCCGATCACAGTGGTAAGTGGAACTGATCGACACACTCTTGGAGAGAGGTAGAGGAGGTGAGAGTCCGAGGGAGAGGAACGCCCGGTTCGTGGCGCTAAAGACGGAGAGCACAGTTGGGCTCAAGATCAAACTGTGGCCGACATAGATGTCCTAAGCAGTGTGTGGTAAACGATACGACGCATAAAAATAGCGGTATTTTTCGCTGTATCCAACAGAGCCACACACAGCAGCACTGGAACTGACGATGACGGCTGCGCGGCGCGGCGGATCCGCTGGGGTAGTTAGGCTGTACCGCAATACGTGCGAGCACTGCGGGATGGCAGCCGCAGGCGCGGTACGGCCGATTGGCGCGCTCCATCCTTCAAAGAAAATGACGGGGATATCCCAGGTTTCTTTGAGCTTTCAGCTGAAAATATTTGCGGCAGTTGTACCTATATAACCTGCATTGGATTAGGGCATGTTTTACATGTAATGTTGTATGCCACATATTTCTTAGAATTTCTTTTATATGATGGTAAGTGTGATAACTACCCAATTCAATTGCGAGTTCCGCATTCCATTTGTATTTGCATAGGCATCCAAATACAAACATGAGTGACTGATTGTATGCAATTATGCTTGTATGCATGAAAACCCACATATAGTTGTTCTTTAAGATGATTTCTACTGTGTTGTGGAAAGCATTTTGTTTTCAAACTTAGAAGCGTACACCGTTAAATAATAAGTAAACACCTCTGTTTGCGTGTTCATTCCAGGCAAACGTTGTTTCAACGTTTTTGCTAACCTACATCAGCAGCGTGTTGGCACCGAGCCAGGTGCTGGCTGATTGATAAAAAGACAAACAAACAGCCACATAAACCGGCTATTTATCAGCGGCGGATGTCACGTGAGCTGAAACGCTGATAGAAAACTGGCATTAATCGGCCAAATGACGCCCATCACCAATCACCACGAGCAATGGTGGGTCGCCCGAGCTGAATGCACCATCGCTCTTCTTATTTTTATAGAATTCTGTTGCGCCGGAGCCGCCGCAATAGACGCTCAGTGGTCCGACAATCCCTCAGCGGAGGACGATCGTGATCACCGAGCCCGTGTCATCAGTGTCTCATATATCGTGACGAGGTCACAGGTAGTCAGCGGTCGGCCTTGGCGGTCGGCGCCATATCTCTGCGCTACCTCCCCCGCAGATACCGGCAGCTTTGATCGTCGCTGCGCAGATCGGCGCGTCCCCACACTGGCGACACCACGAGCCTGGGCGCGCGCTTCACCTCATTAGTCGGCCGGGCGGCGAATTGGCACATCGGGAAACCCATCCATCACCGGATGAGCTGGCAGCACGCTCAGGTGCTCAGGGCTTCGGCCGCGTCCGCCCTCGAGAACTACCGAACTCGAGTTTTGACTTTTGAAAGTTGTAAGCTGAGATATACAAATGGGGTTGAAGAATCCTTTCATCTTTGATGCACTTTAGGATAAGAAATAGAGCGCCGATTTTTTAACTATTTCCTGAGCTCATCGTTCAGTGTCCTAAATGACCTAGGTGCCAGACTGCGACCGGATGCTGGGTTCGTCAGACGTCAAAAGAAAACCGCTCAGTAGAGATGTCCCTATATTTCAATCAAACAAAATAAGAAAACAGGTCCTGACATCACACACTGACGTGACCGGAACCGGGGGAGGGCGGCTCGTCCGTCACATCAGCCACATAGGTCACCTGAGACACCCGTCACAACCACGCGCGCGCCACGCGTCGCACATCTCCGAAGATCAGAGCGGTCACATGCGTCACGCGGGGTGGAATCGCCCGTTTCCGGCTGTCAAATCCGTCACAGTGGCTCCGCCTGTCACGTGTCCCCAGCTGTCACACCTGTCCCGGTGTCAGCTGGCGTCACGGCTCCACCGAGCGACACACGGTCGTCCGTCACGCCCCGTCACAGCCGTCACATCTGTCATAGCGCGCGTCGTCACCGGATTCTGGCCGTTGCACTACCGAGCTGACGGATCGGACAAATGGTGTCCAGAAACCGGGCACCGAACGACCGGCGATGGAGCTGACAGAACCCTTCCCCGTGCCTCGAGACGCTTATTAATGACAGGGTCGTGGCACGATAATATAAACATGGGGCGTGGTCAGTTTGCTCATTGGACTTGACCGTGATAGAGCGCCCATGGCGATTATTTGATGCTTCTTAGAGATCTTTTGGATTTTACGGAGCTCTACCGTTAAGCTATCTGTCAATGTTTCTATTTTAGGGGTAGATTTTAACTTGTAAATGTGTGTCGAGTCCAGATGCTTGCATGAGTATCATCTAAAGACGTATGGAGACTTGTTTAGAATGGGTATTCACACAAGTTATTGGCAATGGGCCGCTAACACTTCCTAAGGTTTTTAAAGGTAGGTAGATCATGTGACGAACTACATCCCCACTTCCTCGCTATTATAACCCACGACGCCCATGTCTCGGCAGGACGTCATCAAGACCATCTCCTCCAGCCACGGGCAAGTGCTGCGCATCGTCATCTTCAAGAAGAACGGCGTCCAGGCGATGGTCGAGTTTGACTCGGTGGAGGCGGCCGCCCGGGCCAAGGAGGCGCTCACGGGAGCCGACATCTACTCGGGCTGCTGCACCCTCCGCATTGAGTTCGCCAAGGTCGGTGCAGAGGGACGTGTGGTCGCAGATCTGGGGTGGGGACGACGTGTGCGGGTATGTGCTTGGGTATGTGACAAAGGAAGTGATGGCAAGGTGGGTTTGTCAGTCAGGCGGGAGTTGAAAAAAGTTGCTCCGCCGAAAAGTTGTGGCATGCATGTTTGTTATGGAGAAAACAAAAAATAATCCCTAGAAAGATAATGATGCATAGTTAACCCAACCAACTATGTATCAAGTACACTGCGCATGCATGCTTCCGATTTGCTGACTTTCCACAATTTAGAGAGAGACTTTTGTCTCAGAGAACGGTTACATCGTAAAACATCTGGTATACAGAGCCATTAGCCTCTCACTAAGATCGTAGAAGCCACAAAGTGAAGACAAGACTATCGGGGAAATGGCAAGCTTTAGATCGTTATTGTGGGCTCAACAAACAATGTCAGAGCAACTCACCCACTTAATAGGGTGATTATGGAGCCAGATATACACGACAATGCCCTCCTCTCAAAAGCATGCCACTTACTCCGCATTAGCGTATTATTGATTGAACTAATCCATCCACCTTCGTCTTCGCATAAACAGGCACCGAGTCCCACTGGAATTTTCCCGACATGATACGTGACATATTTGAGTAATTATTCACGACACAGACGAACCGTTTGACTCTAAAATGCACGATAGTGAGCGGAAGGCGTGGTATCTGACCGAAACATTCGCAGCTGAACATCAAACATCCACGAAGAACGTCTCGTTACATTACGCGGGGTTTTCCATTGCGTATTTAGTAAGTCTTTTAAACAACGGTGGCACGTACCCATAATTTACCTTGGACCGGAGTTCCTACTCATATTATTCATGCAAAAAAATCTTTTTGGAAAACAAAGTATATTAACACGTTTATGATATAAAGGAATAGAGGCTAAATATTTCTCTTGTCGCCATAGTTTGCAGATACAGGTGTTAAATTATCTATTCAGCAATAGAAATATCCCCTGGCGCTTTTAGGCATGGGAACTTCTGTCATACATTCATGATTCCATAGCTCACTTTCAGTGAGCGTGAAGGTTCAGAATGATTCGAGCTTGTCACCACTGCTCTATTAACAGCGTCAGTTGCGGCCTTAAATGGCGCTGAAAGTAACTTAGTGGGGAAGTCATTCTTGAGCTTCACGGTTCACCGACGCCATAGTGTGGTTTAGTGCGGTTTTCACCGACTGTAGCTTCATAGTTCCGCGTCAGTTGTCGACCCATCTTACATGTCACGAACATCGGTAATCAATGCTAGACCATTCACTTGAGCGTCAAGAAAATGTGTTTTATCGGTGCCATGTAATAAGTAGACCTTGAAGCTGTCCACCTCCGCTGAGTAAGCGGTCATTCCTCCCCTAGGCAATCGTCCCTCGCTTAGGCAGTTTTGCTCCTTCTAGACAGTCGCCCCTATCCCCTCTCAGGCAGCTTCCCTCCCCTAGACAGTCGTCCCTCCCCTAGCCCTCGCCCGCACATGGGGGGGGGTGGTTGCCACCCCCCCCCCCCCAGGTAGTCTTTCTGCTCTGCACTCAACATTTTTAGAGCTAGAAGGCTGATTTTTCGTATAGCTGCTCCTCTATCCTTTCTCGATGTCCCCTGAAAATTTCAAGTTTCTGTGGTTTTTGGTTTCGGAGATATGACCTTGTTTCTCAGGTCATGTCATGACCCAAATGGCCAATTCTCAACATCTTGCGTTGGCTATGGGTCTTGTGAGCTTTTGGCACCTTGATTTCGGCCTTTTTTACCAGTCTTACCTCCCACCTATCATGGAACATGTTGTTCGACGATGTACAGATGTCAAGGTCAAGGTCAAGGTCAACCTAGGTCATCTAATATAATTGCGTTTTAGGCAAGCGGAATTTACTTTTTGTGAATTTTTTTGACTGCATTTTTGGTAAAAGCTTATCAGATCATGATTTCATGTAATATGGACACATAAACAATCGGTGCACACATCAGTATACACACAGACACACACAGACATACAAACACATATAATTGACCTTGACCTAACTTGACCTGAAATGACCTCAGCAGCAAAAACCTGGTCGGGTAGTGTGACAAAGAGGTTCTAGCTGGCTTGGCACCAGAAAACGGCATCGTCATCGGTATATGATAAGCAGCGCACTTGATATCCAACGGTGACCCAAAACAGCAATATTTTTAAGTTTGACCTGACCTGGAAGGTCACTGACTGACCTGAGAAGGTAAAACTGGGTATCATTGGATTCGTCTCTTCCCAAAGAATCTTTTTGGTCTTTAAAGCTAAGCTCTATCTCCAACAGGAACGAAATGGCGCGGGGGGGGGGTGGCAACCCCCCCCCCCATGTGCGTTCTAGGATGGGAAAATGGCATGTGCGGGCGAGGGCTAGTTATCCGTCCCTATACATTCTCAAGCAATTCTCCCTTCCTTAGCATTTCCCGCTTGTCTATGCACCGTCCCTCCCCCTAGTATTTCCCCTAAGCAGTCCTTCCCCGCTAGGTAGGCAGTCCTTCCTCCTCTTAGGTAGAAGCCTCTATCCTCTTTTAGGCAACCTTCCCTCTCTTAGGCAGTCGTCCTCACACGGTGTCCCCATGGACACTGGACAGTCATCCCTTCCCTCCCTTTCCTCTGCAATCTTCCCTCCGTTAGGCAGTCCTCTCCCTGTAGGCAGCCGTCCCTCCCCTATAGGCCTTCCCCGCTCCGTGCCGTCCAGACGGCCGCCGGCTCTAACGGCACCTCCCGTTTCCGGCTCTGGAGCGGAGCTTCCTTCCGGTCATCAGCCAACGGCGTGAGCTTCCGCAGCTCATCAGCGAGCTGTGGGAGCCCCGCCGGCTGCCCCCCCCCCCGCCCCAGTAATGGAGCGGTCTCGGTATAGGCGCACACCCGGCGGGATTAGTGTGTAACAGGCCAGGACGTTTATGAGTTCCCAGAATGAACACATGGGTTTGATAATATCAATGATGGTGTAAATGTCGTATTTTGCATATGACCTTTAGATCCTCAAAGCTACGTGGTGAAAGGACTTGAATGGCTTCCACGTCTCAATGGGAAAATTTTCGGAAGCGATTTGGCACAGCAAGTGGCTCAGCCAGTAATCCATTTTAAATGCCGCTGAGCCAGTTAATGCCTGCGATGTCCATTCCGACATCAGAATTCTCCGGGAGTCCGCCGGGGCTCCGCAGCCGGAGCTCGCAGCCGATCTTTCCACGGTGGCGGCGTGACGTCAGCGATGGCTGCGGCAACTCCCCGGCGGCTGGGGCAGCTCTCCGGCGGCGGCGAGCTGTCCTCAGCGGCGCCGCCGCGCCCGATCGCTCTCGAGCCGGTCATTAGCGGCTTTGTACTGCGCTAATGCACCGGCAAATGGTTCTCAGCGCGGCATTAGAGCGGCTCGCATGCGACGCGACTCCGCTGCGGCACCTGCGCCGCCGGCTAAAGGGCATCCGTCGCCCCCTGGCGCCAAGCTGATCGTGTCGCAGAGTCATTGAATTGGCGTCACAGCTAGCTCCGAAATAGAACCAGAGGCCATGCAGCTGGCTGAAGAGGTGTTATATACTGAATCGACACCTCTGCTGCAAGGAAAAAGAGGAAAGGCGTAGCAGAGGCTATTTTCACGCGGTATGGTTATTTGCGTCTTGCGACATCATTATTTACCTCATCAGTAGCTGTCGATATCTGGTATGAGTGACGACATAGCTAATGCGTTTGGGGTAAACGTTCCTATGAAGATGACCGTCTCTCCTGTATCTGCCCTACCCATCAATAGTGTTGGATATGCAGATCGGCGCAGTTCAAACGAGCTCATTTGTTGAATTAAGCGACCACATCTTGTAGCTTAGACAGTGCGCCGCGCTGCGCCGTACTATTTTCACTTCAGTGAAGATCAAAAGCGGACGCCAAGATAGCGGCCGCCCGTTGTCAGCGGGAGCGATGCTAATGAATGGCCGCGCTGGCGTATGGAAGCGCCGCGTTTGTGTATACTGTCAACGGGGTCCCGGCGGACGACATGTAAAACGGCCGGGCGGGGAGTGTCGCGACGCCTCTACCTCCGTTTGGTGGATTACTGGGCGGCTCTCACGTCAAGCCGGAGCCACCGCCCGGCCGAGGAGACGGCGGGCCGATCCCATATTGCTGTCACCGCCGCGACCGACCACTAACGGAGCGAGGCGTCCGTGACGTCATCACCGCCATGATGTGTGACGTCACGAGGGGGTCCGCTGCCAGCTGAAGGAGGATGGGCCAGCCATGTGACCGTCAGTCAACGCCCTGGCCAAACATTGCCAGGCTGCAGAGCTCATAATGTTTTCAATAATACTGCTGTTGAACAGGAGGGTGATATTGATGTATGGGGAGATAGCGAACCTTTGCAGACTTAGGATGCATGCAACATATATTCGGCATTTTTCAGGCCGATAATTTCCCTGATACGTGATTTTGTGATTACCCGGATGTTGAAGCTCACATTTGGCAAATATCTTACGCTCTCAGCCTGCCGCCTGCACTCTTCCTCAGACCTGCTGACTGACTTTCCCGCCAGTCACCCAGCTATGTACAGCCCAAAAATCACACGACAAATTCTCAAACGTTAATGATCTGACTGGCCCGAGTTTATCGTCGACATTGCGCTGCACGCTGCCATTACTCTACCTGAACTGCGCCCGTGCCTGCTGGCTGGCGGAGCTCCAGCGGCGTCCGCTGCCAGTGAGAGACCGTGGCGAGTTTTTGCCCCCGCCGTGCTGGTTATCGGGGCGTAGCGGCCGCTCGCTTACCTATGTTTTGTTTTCCAGCCGGCGCGTCTCAACGTCTACAAAAACGACGCGGAGAGCTGGGACTACACCAACCCGGCGCTGGGTAAGGCCCCGCGGCCGGCGCGTGCAACCCCGTGACCCGCCGTGAACTGCTCCTTACGGCGCAGTTCGTCTCCGACCCATAACGGTGTGGTCGTGCAAACTTTGCGAACTTAACCTTGTAAATTAGCTCCCGGAACTCTTTTTTTATAAATGAAGTTAGTTGCTTCCGGTTTAGTTCAACCAATAAATGTCGATCCTTATGTTCTCAGATTGGTTTACTGGTTTCAATATTGTTTTCAAGGCATAAGATTTTTCTTTTCTGACAGTAAAATTGTTGCCGATTACCCATCTTGTTACTCATGGTTGCATGTCATGCAATAACATTGATGAAGACTCGACACAAAAAATGTACATTTTCTCATGCACAGGCACAAATACTTTGGTTTGAAGCAGTCCAACACTCACATTATATGTAATACAGATATGAGATACGCATGCTTGTGACATGTTTCAAATAGCTACTTTTTGTTACATTGTGAGAACCATTTAATCTTTCAAATGTTTCAAGCATTCACACGTAGATCAATAGCTGCTGCAGGGTTGTACCTATACCATGGATGAGATAATAATGGATTGGTGTCTTCGCAGTTTTTGGCGACATTGAGCTCAGGCCTGCCATCTAGCGGGAGAATTGTCGTAAGTTAGGAGCAAGCCGAGTGAACGCCGCTGATTAGCATTGTGACACACGGGAGTGTGGTGTAGTAGCAGGCTTGTTGTGCAATTTTTCAACAGGTTATGTCTTTATATGTCAGTAAAGGCGAAGAAATTAATAGATTTATGTGCAGGGTCAGTAATAAGATAAGCAGTTCCATGTTATTTCCTCATTAAATCGTGAAACAGGGAGTTATTGGAGACTTCGCCAGCACGTGTCGTTTTCGTAGTTTTTTCACATGAGCCTTTACTTGGCCTAAATCAAACAAATTGTCCGGATCAAAGAACAAAACGAACGTAAGTACTATCTATAAGTATAATGAAAAAGTTAAACGGAATTGCTAACGTCATTGCCGCTCAATATGTACTAGTGATGTCAATTACGGAAAATCGGAATACCGATACCAAACCAAATACCAACCAAAACCATGGGGAAATACCGAAACCAAACCAACTTGGGAAAATGAGGGCAATACCAACTTTTTACCGATTTCTTGGCCTCTTACACATAAGTGAGGGTTCATGATACCAACAAAATACCAAACACATTACGATTAAAATACCAAATACCAAGTTGGTATCGGTTTGGTATCGGTATACCAAAAAGTTGGTATCCGATTGACATCTCTAATATGTACCTAATTCAAGACGCTCTATGAAAAGGACCCAACCAATGCCGCGTAGTTGATGAAATTTCAGTGACTTTGGCTCCAACTCCGATTCCGGTATTCAAATATCGACTCCGACTCCTCCGGGCAGAACTATCGATTCACACAGACTCCGAATCTGACTCCGACTCTGCAGCCCTCGTAAGTCTGTGGAGTCGATGACTTTTCAGTGACCTTCGACTACTAATACTCAGACTACAGCTTTTAAAAATCAACCGACTCCGAGTCGGAACAGAATCGCTGGCTCTGACTTTAATTCCGCAGCCCTGGTCCAAGATAGCCGCCTAAAACAACTTTGATGTGTGATCTTCTTCGTGCATTGTTATGTTATTTTAAACAAGGAATTGAAAAGGGAGACGAAGCCTTCACAAACAGGGATCTCCTGTTGCGGATCAATCAGCTGCTGGAACAGAAACAGAAAAGGAGGAGCTCTCCTGTAATTGGGACGATACGAGCCCGTTGGAGGGAGGCTTGAATAAATAAAAAATAAATAAAATAAATCAATGCAGTGCGAGCATCGATGTGACATTTGTGTACCAAGTTTGAGTGTTATCCGCCCAGCCGTTCTTGAGATATGGAAGCGCGGCACCCCGCACGTGCGCACGTGCAGTAGCACCCCCATAGTGACACATGGAAATGCATTGGCCACTGGGTGCCTAACTATTGAGTACGAAGTTCTACTGTAATGGGCCCAGCCATTGCGGAGTTACTTTATGTGAAACAATTTCGACACCCCTAAGTTGGCACGTGGCACGTGCCGTAACATCAACTAAGATGAAGAAAATCGGACGAAATTCGGAGAAGAAGGAATAAGCCTACCAAATATGTATGACATATTAAACTGCTGTACCCTTGTGAGTAAGTGACCACATAAAAGGTCGTACAAGCCGATCGGACTGGGCGTTTAAATACACACCGCGTCTTACGCATTTTATTTTCGTTATTACCTAAAGGCTGCTTGACGTTTTTGGCTTTCAAGCATTTAAGACATTTTTTGTCGTCTCAGGTCAAGTAAGATTACCTCCAACTCGTGGGAATATGCACTTCAAGCCAACTAACACACCACACCCACGTGTGTCATAATGCTGAGAGATGGGCGTTCACTCGGCTTGCTCCTAACTTACGATAATTCTCTCGCTAGATGGCAGGCCTGATCCCAATGTCGCGGATCCCAATGTTAATTTCCACGAGACACCAATCCAGTGTTATATCATCCATGCCTATACCTTGTAAAGGACATTCCGTTCTTATGAAGCTGGTCTAATGCTAGTTACGCCATTGTAAAATACAACGCGAGTGTTATGCATGTTATCATCGAGTAATATCTTATTTAGTCGCTGAATTTGTTTGAAAGATCCAATTGATTTTAACTTCAACTGTTTTTGTATTTGCTTAAAGTGAACGCAGTCTATACCTTCACCTCCGAGGTGTGAAATACTGCGTGCTCATCTATGCAAAATACTAATTGATAAGGCTCATTAAGATAAGTAATTCTTAATCATCAAAAGAATGGCAAGAGTGTTCCTAGCGGGGATTTTCTTTTACGAAAGCACAGAATGTGAATTTGGTGCGGATAGGTAGGAAGTGAAATTCGTTGGATAAATTTGAATTATTTGTTCATCAATCACCGATTGCACTTTATATTTGTATGCCAACATCTCTACATGATATAATATAAAACAGACGGCGAGAGCATTTAACACTGCATGTGTATATAGCCTGTGTGACAGCTCATATGAGACACATACGTCGGTATACTAGCTCGGCCGTTTTGGCGCCGGGCTGGCAGTGAATCTCTCGGTCTTGCCTAACAACATATAACCTGTGGCCGCGGGTCGGCTGGCCGCTGCGACACGAGCTCTGCCGAACCGCAGCTCACCTCTGTCTCTGTCCGTCTCTGTCTGTCTCTGTCTGTCTCGTCTCTCTTCTATCTGCCCGCCTCCTCTGGTTTTGTTGTAGGTGGCCGCAGCAGACGCAGACATGGACAACATAACCGGGCCACACGCGCACACGACCCCCTCCCCTCCGCCCCCAATCGAGACACAACCGGGCGCCGCGGGTCACCGCACACTGGTCGGAAACGCCCTCACGAGAGGCCACGGGCGATTCCGGAGTTTCGGATTATTTTTTATATAGATCGATTTGAAATTGATCAAATTATTATACTTAGGTCAAAAAACTAATCCGGGTGACCAAAAATAACTGTAATCAGCCCCCGAAGATGGGGTATCCCAGAACTCGGAAACTGACGCGGAGCAGGAGGTTTCTTGAGCCGGATATTCAGAGTCTTATTGCTGATAGACACCAAATTGAAATCCCACATATTATGCATCAAAATGTTCGTTATGAAGTTGCTGACTGGTCAGTGCAAAATTTTTGGCATATTAAATCCCTAACTAAGATGTACTATAGCTTTTTTATGAAGGCTCTCCTACAGTGATTCTGGAATATAACTGCAAAGTTTAGGTAAGGAAACAACAGGTAGTCCCATCTAGTTCCACTCTGATTTTTTGTGAGATGAAGTAGGATTTAAATTCACACCAGGGCAACATAAAAGCTAACTGCGCATATTTGCGCAAAATTTGCAGGAGCCGCTCTTCCTACCCAACTACCGCCCGCCCCGCCCCAGTTTCGGCTCGGCCGCCGCGCCCGGCTTACGCTGACCTGTGTGGCCTGCACGCATCCATGCGTAGTTGACTGGTCATTAAAAACAGATGCGCTTGAGTTTATGAATTTTGTGAAAAGCGCGTTTTATGTATGCATTTATGTATGTATTGACATCAAAAGCCTTCCACATATTGCGTGGCGATTACGGCTTGCATTTAGAGAGCCTTGCTATTGACAACCATCACTCGGCTGAAGAAAGTGGAAATTGAAACCTTCGTGAATATAAGACGCTGCAAATATAGGACACCTGTCACTGACGTCAGGTTACCTTGGGTCGTCTTTAGTTACATTAGATTACAATTCCGGTATTTAACCCTGGCCGGACCGATTGGTTTTCTATATTGACCGGGGAGGGTTGGTACAACTCCCTCGCCGTTTCGCCTCTAATTGAGCTAGAGCCTCGCGGAAAAAAGCTTGTGTGCCGTTATAAGACGCAAAAATCAGGTACTACCCGATTTTAAGGTCTTAGGTCAGCCAGTGACCTCTTAGGTCACGTAAGTGCCACAAGGCACGGGTTCGGTTTTAGGTTAATTACTTTACCAAAAAATGGTCGCACTGCCGCGATTTTGGCATCATCGTGTTTGTCTAGCTCAGGCGCGTTGAATGCTATACTTGGTGTTCGGGTGAACTCAACTTAAGGTGTTAACCTCGGGTCAAGGTCAGGTCGGAGCCCCTCAGGTCACGAAAATGGTTGAATGAGGTCATATTGCATATCATTCGATTCGGCAGGTCTTCCTGAGTCCAATGGTGGCTTTCCCGACTCTCTAGCTCCATCTGATCAGGAGTTATTGACGAAAAACTTATATGGCCTTAGTGACGTCATACATGACGTCACGCAAAGTCAACAATGCTTAAGTCAAGCACTGGACCTTGCAAGAAGTGCATGAAACCATTCCCGGTGCCCGAATAGCAGCTCCCAATTTCCCTTGTTGACTTAAAGTGGTGTTAGATCCTGTATTATACTCAATTATGACGTCATAACTTAACAGATGCACGTCATATATTTAGTGCTTGACATCCAAATGATAGCTTACATATGACAGAGAAGGTATGCAAAGTTTTATGAAGTTTGCTTGACTAGTTGTGGAATAACAAGCAAAAAACTTTTGCGGGAAGGCCGCTGGCCTCTCGCTGGAGCGTTTCCGACCAGTGTGCACCGCCGCGCCGCGACACCAGCGCCCTCTTTCTCTCTGTGTTGCAGGCAGAGCCACCTGTTGGCGACCCCGGGTACTGTGACGCGTGCGGCCCGGTTACGTTGTCCCGTCTCGACAGGTCGGTCGCCGGCTGCCAGCCCTGGGGGGAGGGGAGGGAGGGTCAGGGGGACGGGAAGATAAGTGAGCGAGAGAGGATGTTGACGGGTTACCGGGCTCCCGGTGACAGATTGACAGTTTGGTGTCGTCAGCTCACTGGAATCTGGCGGGAAATTCTCTGGTCAATATTTACTGATGATTGCCGTTATTTTGATAGCGGATACGACTTGGTCCCATTCTAAATAAATATTTTAATGATTTTTGTGATTGCGAAACATGCTTGACTGACAAATACTTAACCGCAAATAAACAGAGACTGTGATATTTTTTCATTTAAATTTATACAATACGCAATATCGTTTCGATACAGAATGTGTCTAATTCGGTACATCCTGTTAGCTGCACTCAGGCTAAAAACTAGCTTTAGCGACCGCTGTCTTTCTGAGCAGTGGTGTGAGAAAAACTTCAAGTGACAAGTGCAGTTGAGCGTCTGTCTGCTGTAAGCGCCGTTTCACATCTTTCAGTTTATTAGCTACTGAAGCGAAGTACAGGTCTCGCGGGTTTTTATCGGTAGGTTTTGCACCTAGAAAATTTAGTGTACTTCAGGCTATATCTTCGTCGTCTTAAGCTTTTAAGTGTTGAAGATGCGATCGACTTGTTGGGTAACAAGCCGGCCATGATCGTGTAAAATGGCTTCATCGTAGATCGATTAGTTTCTGAGATATAACCGGAAATGTAAAAGTGCAAAACCTACCGCTTAATCTCGCGAGACCTGTACATACATACAAGGGACATTTCATTTTCTTACAGTCCATTTGAGAATATATGTGTTATTCTTCAACACCACCTACACGACCTGCACTAGGTATACTTTTCAAGCGCCTTATCACAGGCACCCGCGCTTCATCACAGACAGAAGTAATCTAGATGACTGAAATACATACGTGTGACTTCCTTGACCACGACCGTCAGGAACCCAATGAATTTACAGTGACTCTACCGATTCAACCTGAAAGTCGACTGAAATTTGTGCATGAAAGTTGTTGATATGACCACCAAGCCAATAGAATAGACAGAAATACGCTTGAATTGGTAGCACAAAAAGGATAAGTTATCCGCTATGGTAGTTAGCAAGTTTCAGACGGGCGTCTCTGGGTCTCTGCTGGCCCCGGTATTCGTCTATTCTACCCCGCCCATGCCGGCCTATACACCCTGTGGCCAGCGGCGGGTCAGAGCCGATAAATTCACCCAGTGCTGCTGGTATTGATGTCAGTCCCAGGGGACCCCGGTCCTCCCTATACCCGGAGGGACGAGGCAAGGCCGCGAGGGCGGAATGGCGCGGGGCAGCATAGGACGAGAGGTCAGGAAAAGGCGGGACGGGACTGGGTGGAGGGTGGCAGGAATACACGGAAAGGGAGAGGCAGGAAGGGTGTGACATCAGTTTGGAGGGACGTTTGGGCGGCACGGAAAAGGATGGGACATGATGGAACGGGAGGGGTGAGACGGGATCAAAAGTTCTGGGGTATTTACGTATGTAGCAGGGAACTGAGTTGTTCGATGTTAGAGGATTTTATTTTGAAAAAAAAAACACCCTAAGAGATTTCGTTTCTTTGAACTACATCGTTAAAAACTCTTGAAAGCAGGTGGTGTGTCTCAATGCGAATGGTCCAGTTTTATTCACTCTTTTATTTTTTATTCTTTACACATTATGTAAGAAAATTAATGCAAACATTCATAAAGTTCAAAATTCAAAAGTTGAGCGTGGCACGAAGTCCGCTGAGCTGGAAACTGTTCCCCGGCTATTCATCACGCTCTGTGGCTCTCCTCCCATCCCCGCGGGCCATTGTATTTTTTCCCGTTCTCCTCCAACAGTTCCCGACAGTAGTTAGTCCTCTGTCCGGGCCGCTCGAGCACGGTCGTCCCACACGGGTGGCCACTCGGACACGTTCTGACGGCAGCGCGGCGACAAATTGGAGCGCCCGTACCGGTCCCCGCGCTCCGTCCATTTGTATTCCGCCGCCGACCTCGCCACGTGCCCACACGCGGCGTGCCGAAAGTGAAAGAGCGCCTCCGCGCCGCGACGTGATCTTATGGCGAATGGAAATAAGTTCGACCGGACTTCGGTCGCCAATCAGCCAACTCGAATGACGGGAAAGCTGGGAGGTCATTTTATGCTCTGCTGGTGACAAAATCGGGAATGCATGTGTTTTCTCACCGAAAATCATTGATAGAAGTTCATGATGGATTATGCCCCAAGCATTTATTCTCTGTGTGATAAAACTTCTTTTTTGTCTGTCTTCTCATCAAGTCTGGCTTCTGGCCCCAGTATAAGGTGACCCGATAAGAAATAATCTTTGAACCTGTAACGTGCTACCTTATCATTACCTCCATTATTAAAACGGTCACGCTTACTCCATAATGAACATCACGTATATACGCCATTATAATGCTACCTCATACCTCTAAAAATGGAGGCACTCATACGTCCCCAAGCTCCAAAGCATCATCAGCTTTTTAGATGATACGCATCATAGTTTTTTGACCACTTAGTGAAAAGCTTGTACGATTCCCCAGAAACGTGTAATGAACTACAAGGTGGTTTTTTTCTCGTGCATCGGTGTATATTTTCATCACATTTGTTTTAATGGTTTACAAAATTATTTGACATCGACCTTGTATCGGCCTGGTGGCTTCAATTTAGCCCCGACGCTGATGTCGTCTGATCCCATATCCTTCGCTGCTGGGTCAAACGATCGATCAGTGCCTTTGAAACTTAACAAGGTAATTACGGGGGATATTGTGACACGACAATTTAATATTGGCTGCATAATAATTACATGTTTTCTAGCATGACAATACGGCTGGGTTCTGGGAACAAAAGCCATCGGAAAATTCTTACGATTTGTCAAGACGTTTCCAATAAGTTGACAATGATTTTAATGGAGACTTCTGCATTTCACGCGAACCATCGATTACCTTCGGGAGGTGACTTTGATCTCCGTATTCGACGCAGTAAGGGGCTGCTGAACCTATGCTGCTCACTCACAAGCCTTGGCGAAGAACAGCTGGGGCGTTTAGTGCCGCGACAGTCGCGTAGGTCCATCGCCGCGACAGTCGCGCGAATCTGTCGTCGCGACAGTCGCGCCGATGTCGTCGGTAAGCGGCGCCTGCCCTCAAAGCGACAGCTGCACATCAGGCGTCATAAAGAGATAGCTAATGAGGATGACGGTGATCAGCGACACCATAAACCGCCCGTGACACCAGCCGGCGTATTTTGGTCGCGACCCGGCCTGTTTTTGCGACTGCTAACGGGCTGGGGTCGCTCTCTAATGTCGCCTGCTGCCAGTCGTTTCAGTCGCCGTGCGGAATAAATGCAGCAGAGTTGATTGGGACTTGTGACTGACAGTTGAGGGCTCAGAGTTATGGGTTGGAGGGCAGGTTGGAGGTGAATTCACCATTGGGAGTGTTTGTTTGGGTAATTTACCGTGTTGTGCCGGTCTAAAGCTGTTTGTTTGTGACATGTCACACTGGGATGAGCGGCTGACCTGGCAGTGACGGCTCTGTGTCAGCCACTGACACTGACACACTGACACCGACTGACCGTGCGTGTGTCACCACAGGTGTCACTGCCAAGCCGGAGCTGCTGGCGGCCAAGACTCCGCTGCTGCAGGAGCCCCACTTCCCCGGCTTCGCGCTGCCCTACGGTGAGTTCGGGGATCCCTGCTCACAAGATTTAGTTTCCAGGAGTATGGACGGGTGAGGCATGGGTTCCAGAATAGGTAAAGGGGATAAAATTGGCAATACAATCGTAGCAGGATGTATGTAGAAAGAGAGCACAGGTGAAAAATGTTTTGTCAATTCGCCTTTGAAGCTGTCGGGCCGTTTTTTTATCACAGAAGACGAATCTGCGTGGCATGTGCGCTGGTCGGACTGCGCACATGGATGACATGTGTAACAAGAAACATGCGAATTGAGCGTCTCGCTTTATTTCCTTACGTTATGCCTTTAAATAATTTTATTTGTGCTATCCATGCTACACTTCCTGACATGTTGTCAGTAGGCTGGCATCTATTGGTAAACGAAGACATTTTATCTAAAACATCATAAGTGCAATCTTTATCTCTGTAAGTAAAGCAATCCTTTTTTCTTTTTTGTTAGATCAAAATTATGAAGTTATACCTATTATTAGGTATATATTACGCAAAAAAAAGAATTAATAAGGTCTGAACATCTGGTAGCTGAGCCGATATGAGACACGACATACGTCATTATCTGAGTCTTCACGGTCATCTGACAATTCTTGTATCCATCAAATGCTACCCACCGGGAGCTAACTTCAACTATACCAATTAATCGTTCAGACTGTCCTGCGCTGTGACCGACAGCCAATCAGCAGCCGAGACGGCCGATCACGTGACCGGTGAGCCGTGTCGGCCGCGGTAATGGATTGAGTGGGTCACCGGGACATCAAGGCACTAATGAACTGTCTCTGCCCCGGACATGGCCTGTACGAATCGAAACCCAGTTATAGTCGGTTGTATAACAAGAGTGATCAAGGAGGCCTGAAAGGCGATATGGACAATGGATGTTGAGTGACATGTCAATGTGCCGTAGTCAAGGAAACCGGAGAATTGCGTTCAATCTGTAGTTTTGATAAAAACAAATCCGAGCATAGCTAAAAGGGCACTTCAACGTTAGCTTCCTGTGTTGACGCTGCTTATAAGTAAGCGACTACCTATTTAGACTTCGTTTAGACTTTAGAAGCTCGCTTTTGCTGTGGCGTTTTAACTGCAGTTGGTTTCTTCAAATGTTCGCTGTGCAGGTGGTGCGTTTTATCACCGCGTCTCAGTTTCAAAACGTCATTACCTACTTTCGTAACATCACATTATCTTGGGTCATTTTGCCTTCAGTCTACAAAGAAGGCTTCAGTTTCCTGATATTCAACCACATTGATTCATGTTAGTCGACCCACCCGTTTTCAGCGCATTATTAGCAGCGTTGACTTTTTTGCACACATCCCGCCCTGTGCACAGTCCCGAGACCCCGCGATAAACCCCGCCCACCGCCGCGGCTGTTATTTATGCCAAACAACCGCCTCGTCCCCGCCCGAGGTGCGTCGGGTATGCGTGTTCCTCTGCCAATGGAGTGACGCCGGAACGGGGCGTCGCCGCCACCGAGCCGATCCCGGCTCAGCGGGAGCTTCTGAGCCGCGCAGTGGGTCGTGCTCCGCCGGTGCGCAGCAACCACCCGGCCGAGACAGCCGCAAAAAGTCGCCGATGACCGACTAATGGCTTGTTTGGCGTCCCGATGTGGCGCCGCGCCGCGTTTCGGCCCGTGCCGGCTTCTCCCGAGGGTGTGCGTGGGGAAGGGTGAGTGTCGACGTCGGGTTAGGAGGTGATATGTTGAGAAGTGATGGGGGAAACAGTGGTGTCAACTGGGAAAGATCCTGCTGCCACTAATATCGTTGCTTCTTTTAGCTGAGGACATCATAATTGCACCGCCGGTCTTGGTTTTCTATTGCATAATGCTGCGTAATGGAGATAATGATGGGATGCTGATTGAGACATCAGTGCTTTCGATTCGATTCGATTTCGATTCGATTCGATTTCGATTCGATTCGTATTGTGCTGACGTTTGGGCATCACTGGCGCCGCCCCAGCCCTCTCCCCTCCGGTACTCAAACCAGCCAAAGAACCCGTCCCATCGTCAGCGACGACCTAAACCGGGGTCGGATTTAGCCCTCGGTCGACGTCTGATCCGGAACAGAAGCTGTTAGCCGACAGAGCGGCGGCTGGATTTCACAGCGGAGATAGCCGAGCGATGGTCGATCGATAGCAGGAACACGGCCGCAAACTGCCGTGTTAGTATCGAAACGGACTGTTCCCCAGAGCATCAGCCGTGTTGGAACACACGCTGACATTTGTCATTGACGTACAGCACCACGCGCGTGTTTTACGTTTATCGACACGGATGGGTCGCCACCAGGGTTTGGGCTGTTTAGCTAAAGCTTTGCCTTTGTCTTTGTGGTATAATCCATAATCGACAGCACTGGACGGGGAATTGATTAAATATTAACCGCCGACCACATGGCGGGGTCGAACTAGGAACTGAACCCAACATTTTCCATATTTACGACAGCCGGTCCTACATGAGACCAGAGCACGCCAACCAATTTCCAGAACTACCAAAGTGCATACACGATCCATTAACCACTCGCAGGTAAAATGTTATAAGTAGAAAGTGGGCTTCACCAATGTGTTTGTGATATCACACGCAAATTCAAGTGATATGAGCTTCGGGCATTTATTGGCTTTGCTACACCCGAGTAGATAAGCAGACCAGACAGCAGTGTCTTTCCACCCCCTCACGTGCATGACTCATGTGACTGTGGACGGTACAGATGCTTTTTGAAGTCACAGACACCTGTGGTAGCACATCTTTGGTATCACCTGCGACCAGCAGCGCACCTAACACTTTTCGAGGCAGGAGTCCTCCAGAAGAGGCGGGAACTTCACCAAAGGGCGGTCATCTGGCGCCTGATGAGATTGTCAATGTGGACCCGAACGGAAGTTTCACCAGTTCGAGCGAAAGCTAGACCGGCGTCTTTCTATGAGCTCCACGTCGGGTGCAGCCTAACTTCTGCGGACCCGGCTGAAAATGTCACGAACTGCAGGGTGACCGTTTGTGTGCCGGACCTGTATCGCGTAAGTTAACGATTTAACTTTCCTGGCTGCTCTTTCTGAAGTTGTTCCGGACAGTGTAATCGGTCCGACGGCGAGGGATTAACGAGCTTTCTTGTGCCATTGTTCGCATGAACGCTCTCGAGCCCGGACGGAGATGTGAGTGTGATGGCGGCCCGATGGGAGTTCATTTGAGCGCCAAGTGCCCTATCCAGCGCTGTTTACCGGGATTGGATGCAGCTCCGAATGAGAGCCGGATTGGAGGGGATTTGTAAGCAATTTGGTAAGATATGGGAACGTCGCTCTATAGGAGACGGCAGCTACAAGGAGCTCACACTGAGCCAAATTTGAGCGACGAATCAAAGGGAATTGCTGGTCGTCAGCAAACTTCTGATCCTACTTGATTCAGGTATTAATCGAGCGGCGAGAGAAAGACAGGTCCATTTTTATTGTTTGAGAATCGTGGCACCATTTCGTCACATGCATACATCTTTTGTTGTGCTAATCATGGGTGGAGAACCTGCCCCGGCCACCCCGGCCGTGGCCGGGGTAACTTTCAGCCTACCCCGGCGCGGCCGGGGTAACTATTCCACACTTGGTGCTAATACTTTTCGAATAGGTGCCCAATTTTTGGAAAAAGTAGCTAGATTCCCCATAATTGGGCAGATAATCTTCTATTTATATTAAACACCGCAAATTCAACCGTATCCTGAACAGCACATAATTATTGCATGCTGAATTAGTATGTTACATGTAATGGACATTGCAATGCACACCTTAGTCGAGCCGCAAGCGTTTTGCGTTGGAGCCCTATTGTGTCAGCGAGCGCACATCATAAGTTCTGTGATGCCGCTGCTGAGACCTTTCAACGCTCCCGCATTCAAATGAAGCCTTTTCCTCTCAGCTGTGCTCCAAATTGCAACGCTAAGTGCCTCTGGGAACCACTTCAGTTAACAACAATATAATTTCCAGACCGCCTAACGGTCCCGTAGTACTAGCGAAGGACCATTACTCCACCGGTAGTCTTTGGTGCGCCTTTATGCCGAAGAACATGCGTAGGTGCCACTGTCCTCGAAATTGCTTAGAGTTATCATCATCATACGTTTTATTAAAACATGCTATGAAGCATTGCATGAGCAATTCATATGCTAAGAAGGAGATATTGTGGTCGATTCTACATAGTACTATCATGTTTAAATGGCCATGTAAAAGTTACCTGTTTCGCACTGTATACGATCTTCTGAAATGACATACCAGGGTATTGTCTCCCTCGGTCACCTGTGATCTGTAGAGTCCAAGGACACTCCTGCTCGCGAATCAAATGACGGCTTTGTTCTGCTGAATATTCATCGGTGTGTCGGAGCTCCGCCGTTGTCAGGTCGTATTCAGACCACTCCTTTATGCAAACAGTTCCAGGTACAGCATCGACATTGAACGAGCCACAAATGTATGCGAACACTGAGATGCGCATAACTCTCACTGTCGCCGAGCACCATCACCCTCGAAAAGCTGCGGGGCTGTGATCAAGTCTCTAAACCCACCGTTCGCCTGGACTGTAAGTGACGCCTCCCTCTCTGCTCCTCAGGTCTGGAGGCGGTGCGCGGCTCACCCCTATACGGTGCCACACCAGTCGCAGAGAGGTAAGGAGCAATTCCGTTCAGGTCACTGACCGTCCGACCCGCCCGTGCATACATTAGTGCACCGCCTGTGCACTCGTGCAGTGTGCACAGTGCCGCGGGCGGCGTCCAGGCAGAGGCGGAGAGGCCACTGACCACGACTCGGCGTGACTGTGGTGGGAGAGAGAGCGGGAGGGAGATTTGTTATCACCAGAGGAGTCGTGCCGGATATGGGGGTAGAGCGGGAGAAGAGAGAGAGAGAGAGAGAGAGAGAGAGAGAGAGAGAGAGAGAGGGAGAGGGAGAGGGAGAGGGAGAGAGAGATAGAGAGAGTGAGTGAGAGAGAGAGGGAGAGAGAGAGAGAGAGAGAGAGAGAGAGAGAGAGAGAGAGAGAGAGAGAGAGAGAGAAGATACATAGGAGAGAATGATGCACGAAATTATATACATATGTCCCTGTTTGAAGTCTATCTCTTCCCCGCCGCAGTCTGTCTCTGACCTGACCCGCCGCAGTTTGTCAGCAGTCTATATCTCTGACCCGCCACAGTCTGTCTCTGACCCGCCACAGTCTGTCTCTGACCCGCCACAGTCTGTCTCTGACCCACCGCAGTCTGTCTCTGACCCACCGCAGTCTGACGTCTCTGACCCGCCACAGTCTGTCTCTGACCCGCCACAGTCTGTCTCTGACCCGCCACAGTCTGTCTCTGATCCGCCACAGTCCGTCTCTAACCGGCCGCAGTCTGTCCCTGGGCAGGTTTGCCGCCGCGCTGGCGGCGCCCGCCGTCGGTGCCACAACATTCAACCCGGCCGAGCTGGCCCTGCAGGCTTCCCCTCCTGCGGCCCGCGCTGCCCTCTCCGCGGCCAGCTTCGCCGCCCAGCCGGCCGTGGCCCCGGCGTCGCCCCGCCTGGCGCAGCAGGGAGCCGTGCTCATGGTCTACGGCCTCAACAAGGACATGATGAACGCCGAAAGGCTCTTCAACCTCTTCTGCCTCTACGGAAATGTCATCCGGGTACGTTTCGTTGGTAGGATTTACTATACAATGATGTCAGGGCGAAACCGGACTGTAGAAAGTAGATGCGTTCTATCAACTTTAGGCATCTCCTGTGCTGGCTACGATTTTTGTCCGCTGCTTCCTTGCAGGATAATTCCTGCTGCATGAAAAACGGTCAAATGTTTTGTAAGCGAGATGTATGGCAATTAAGAGCTTTGCTTTTAAATTCGTTGTACGAAGTGGTCTCAGAATTATGGCCGCTTAGGCCGTGTTTGAATTCACCCATACTTGTCATATCCGTACCGTCCTACTGCTGATTGTTACACGGGACATGTCAAATATCCACCTAGACCTGCATCAAGAATCGGGCTACGGTGGCAACTTGCCTTTCACAAACTTTCTTTTTATGCTTTCAAAGCCTACTACGCTGTTTGTTTTTCGCGAGCGTAACCAAACACACCAATCGTTGTGCTATTAACCTGGGGATAGGAGCAATCTCACTCGCCTCGTTTGTTTTAATGCGCGCCTCATTCATTACCTGTGCTGGTGCGGGACTTGATTAAAGTCGGGCTCCCTGGCGTGCAACTGCGTCCAGGGCTGTGTTCAGGGCCTCGTCTCCCACTGCGCCACGTTTGGCCACAGACGAGCGACGTTGTGACGCAACGGCACGTGCTACCGTTGCCGGCGGCGGCTCGTACCGTGCGTTAATATTTCACCTGTTCGCCGGGTGGATTAAGTTGGCCCCGCGGGGCTGAGTTGACGAGCCGACAGCTCCGGGGAGGGGGGGGGGGGAGTGGTGGGGAGTCTGCAACCAGGACGACGCTTCTGCGTTTGCTGTCGGGCTGGAGGTTGTTTGTTGGTAAAAGTTTGTCAAATACGTAAAAGTGATGAAGTACAGGGTTATCAAACATTTAGCGCGGGTGAGATATCTATTTTAAATTTGCCGCCGCAGTGAGGACCGAGCGCAGGGGCTGGGGCGGAGGCGTGTCTGGCCAGGGCCGGGTCTATTTCACCGCGGCCGGCTCCGATCGATCTGTGTGCCGAAGCCGGACGGAGCGACGGCCGGCGAGACAGATTCCCTGTCGAAGAGGCCGCTCCTGGCCATCGGTCGCTGCCGGCAAACACGACTCGATCTAACGCGCCGAAGCTGCAGCGAGGCGCCGAGAGTGGGCGCGCGCGAAAAATAGCACCGCCGGCCGCTTATACTCGCCCGTTATCGATAAATGGCGGGAGCGAGGTCCGGCGAAATTCGCGCGAAACGTAGCCGGATGGCAAAACGGCGCGAGTAATGGAAGTTAATCGAACAGCCGCGCGAACATTGGAATTTATGGGCTCATTCGCTTTGCAACGACCCGGTTGATATTGTCGCCAGTCTCGCTGAACAATGTCTAAATCATTCATCAATCGATCTTCGTCCATCGAAAACTTGTCATCGTTAATTTGATATTGCCTTTATGTTGTTTACTCGTATTTCTTCATTTCGTTTGGGAAGTCACACATGCAATGGGGATGGTACTTTGTAACAGTGTCAATCAAGCTAATTGAATTTGTTGCATGTGAATCCGAAGCAATTCCTTTTAAAATTAATTCACGTTTACCAACTCGTCGTATTGCAGATCAAATTCCTGAAGACCAAGGAGGGGTGTGCAATGGTTCAACTAGGCGACGCGCTGGCGGTCGAAAGGGCAATCGGCAACCTCAACAACATCAACATTTTCGGCAGCAAACTCCAACTAGGGTGAGCTGCACTTTTGTTTTACTGTGGGTCTACTCGGTAAAAAAGTGTTTTCAGCCCCACCCGAAGGTATTCGAGTTACTGGTTTGGTTTCTGTTATATCCAACCGTATTGTGCTCCTAAGAGTTCTCTAAAAGGCATTGTTTACGATCCTTTAGGTGGTTCACGGTAACTATAGACTTGTGGTTACGCCATGGTGCCGTAGGTGGGCTGAAAGTGCACCCGATGAATTGATATTACCCACGCATCGCCACCACCCAGGTACAGCAAACAGGCGTTTTTGAACAACGTGCAGCAGCCCTACTCACTACCCGACGGAACACCCAGCTTCAAAGACTTCACCGGCTGCAAAAACAACCGATTCCTCAACCCGGGAATGGCGAGCAAGAACCGCATCCAGGCACCCTCAAAGGTGAGAATTTGACGGAACTAGACAGGCTTTTTGTTGCTTTTAATTCAACTACTCTAATCTAATGGCTAATCTAATGGCTAGAAGTGGAATGGGTGATATCGAAGGGTGTCGCTATGCTTGCATGATCGTTAGTGTTTTACGTGGTCATAATTTCCAACCACGATATATCAGCATAGTACCTGTCACTCCCATTCATAAGGTGATCACTCACTCTATGCAATCGCTAATTATGTTAGAAATGGGTTCGCTAGACCGTCTGTAAGAGAACCTACATTGTTCGAACTCTGTTGCTGGCGGTGTACTGATTCATAACATCTTAGTTTCTCACATTAAACCAGGACCAACTGCATTTGGCTGTGTTTAGCTGTATTATTTTATTGGAGCAGAACTTACCCACACTTGACTAACAACTCAATTGGTCAAGTGTAAAAATGGTTCTCAAGTGTTCGGAAGAGAAGAGATGTTAAACTTTCCGACCTGTGAAAATGCTTTGATTCCCAAAAGCTATAGACCCATAGGTATGGCTAAAGGAATGGTATAGGTACAGAAGCATGGACGATTGCGTTTACTGAATGGTGAAGCATCACGCGACGTTCACTCTCCGGTGATAGTCGAACAATTTCATTAAAACAAAGTGTTAAACACTGTTACCTATAGTCGGACAATGTTTAAGGGGCTGTTGTTCGGAGAAAATATCAACCGTCTCCCTATGACACCGCCCGTAATTTCCGCGATGTGCCAGACACCGTGTTCTCTTGCCCTTTATTAAATCAACATAGTCGGACGGTGATCGGCTCATGTCGATGACCCGGTGACCTACCGGGCCTCTAATGTCACCAGAACCGAACTTCGATTGTCCCACTCCTACGAAGGCAAAGGCGTGCAGATTCTTATTTTAGAAATGTAAACCGAATGAACGAATTGGTGTTTCCAGGCCCAGGTGCCTCGCTAAGCTACCCTGTCGATGCTATTGATTGTGTGCCTCTTTTTTACAACTGTTAGTAAATTACTATATCCACAAAGATATTCTGGATGTCAGGTCCTGCAGCTCAACTGACCCTGTTTCTCGTCTCGCCTGCAGGTGTTGCATTTCTTCAACATGCCGCCGCAGCTAGCGCCGTCAGAGCTGACGGAAATCTTCCAGTCCGCCGGAGCGGCCACCCCGCTCTCCGCCAACATTTTCCCCTCGAAAAGTACGTCAACAGTGCGATGTCTGTGCCGATTCAATGCGATACCGCTTGCATGACGCAGATAAATCCGGCATTGTGGTGCTGTCGTAACTGATGGGTGGTAACTGGTAAGTGAGCAGAGACGAAAACAGAACAAGTGACCGTTTTCGACTCAAAATTTCATCTGCATGAAATCGTATTCTGGTCTTCCGCGTATATGTAAGTGCTATTGGATGCTGATAAGAACAAAGTCATCACCCATTTAATTGTGGACGCACGCCCTTAGCATTATGTGTTTATTTTTCCAGAGTTGGCTCTTTGCTTATTAATTTCATAATGCTAACGTGCTTACTCGTTTGCTTACGTGTTTCCTCTCAGACTACCTGGAGGCTCACGGTCGTAGTTTTTCGGTAGTTGTCGAAGTAATTAGAAAGACCAGGCTCATCAAACATTATTTCGCTCCCAGGTGCGCGTCAAAGTTTTAATGGTTATGTTGGTGTCGTCAGAGGCGCCCTTGCAGTGTTTATCAGCTCCGACAGCCGCCTTTTAGATACCCGTTCTGCACGGTCTCCCAGCGTTTTACACCCTCGTCATTTCATTACGGCACATCTTTGTAATGTGCCCTCCCATACGCCGGGTAGTTCAGCGCTCCAGCCAATTCCGTTGCGTGCCGCGCGAGGAAGGAAGAAAATAGCGACCCGATAGAGATCGCTTCCATAAAGTGGCACGGGTGGCATTTTCGTCCAGTTCACGAGTTCCAAATAAAATGCTAATCAGCGTATTGATCTTCGCCTGGCAGCTCTGTGACAGCTGGCGTCCACTGAAAATCGCGCCGTTGGGACTCGTTTGCACTCAGCAAACTAAATAAACCTTTTTGTCGTATCGCTGGCTCACAAGAGGAATGTTTTGCCTGTTGGATGGGCGACAAATACCCGGACGAAAAATGCGGCTGTCGCCAGCATCTCTCTGCTGCCGGCTGCCACAGCCTCATTCAAAACAAGTTAACGTGGATTTACGTAGTGCGCTGTAAAATCAGGTCACTTAAAGCGTTTATCTCTACTTGAAAATGTTTGTTTTCTGAATGATCAATTACTGAACGTTTCAATAGGGATATTTGCACGCATTATATTGATGACATCATGCAAGATCATGCGAGAGGGTGGTGATTCGGTCGTGCCCTTAGTTGCAAATGCACCTGCAGCTTTCAAGTCTTGCTGTCATTGGTGTAGGTACGTACGTTTTTCGGCCAATATTGGGAAGTTGGGAAAATAAACTCATTCGTGTGTTACGACTCCGGTCAGAACTGCGTACAATTTGCCTGCAGCATTTACCAGTAACCAGAATGAATATAATTATTTACACAAATAGGTACCTCGAAAGGACGTCATGATTGCTCGACGAAAGTCACTTTACTCGTTTAGCCATCCCAGTGCCGATACGAGAGAGCTTTTAGTGTGCGCAAATACGGGTGGGCCAGGCGAGAAAGGGATTCCGTGTCACGCGCTCCTGCACTGCGCCAGCTCGACGGCAAACGGGGGCGGACAGCCGGCTGTCGGACCGGGAGATCTGGTCCCGCTCCCTGTCGGACTCAGCTGTCGGCTCTCACAGGAACCGGGCAGACAGACGGGGTGGGACCACGGACCACAGACCAAATAAACGGCAGACCAGATGAAACCACGATCCCGACGAGCCTGTGCACCTGCACTGTGTTGTCTATTTTCCTACCCTATATGCGCCGTGACCATTTGTCCCCCGAACTCTGAAGTGGTGCCCGTTCCCTACGTGCTAAGCGCTCTGTCCTCATGTGTTCCGGGAATCTTCCGCATGTATTCAGTGCTCTGTCGCGGTGCGTCTGGTGCATTGCCACTGTGTTCGGTGCTAGAACGTGGTGTTCTGTTGTATCTGGTGATCTCACGACTCGCACATTGTTCTGACGTGCATGCTCGGTGTTCTAACGCGGTGTTCTCTCGTTGTGTTCGTTCAGTGTTTTGACGCGGTGTTCTCTCGCTGTGCCGCAGCCGAGCGGAGCTCCTCCGGCCTGGTGGAGTTCAGGAGCACCGAGGAGGCAGTGGAGGCTCTGGTCGTCTCTAACCACAAGTCGATCCCGCGCTCCAGTGAGTCTCCCAACGCAGACTGGCCGTCACAACATCCCAACCATCCCGAGTCCTTCACTAACGTCCAACTTTTCCGATGACCGGGCACTGATTTTACCGGCCGATGTCGCAGAAAACTCGAGTTAAGCCTTGTATGCGCCATTACTGTGTTTATTCAGACATCGCTTACCCAACTTTGGACATTCCTTTGATAGAGCAGTAAAACTTCGTCAACGGCCAAATGAGACAGGCAGAGGAAGCGCCAAAAGTCGGGCGACACATAGTTTAGCTACTTCATTGACAATTTAGCGCGCGAAACTTCAACTATTCTGAAGCGTATCTCTGTGAGAAGGTTTCTAGGCCGAAACGTCAAGGGCCACTTTAGACAGCACATTTCAACAGGCCTGTTTCAGCTGTTTACATCCTCACCCTGCTTCTCGTTTCCGCTTTTCATATTGTTTTCCGCATTTGACGCTCCCTCCCTGTCTTCCCTCGGTCTCACAGGCAGCAAGTTCCCGTTCACGATGAAGCTCTGTTTCTCGTCGTCACGGGCGGGGAACGGCGGCGGATCGGACCGAGCCCACTCCTCGCCGGAACAGGTGTGCTAGTGCCGGGCCCTGTCGGCCCCCGGTGCGCTCACGAGACCTCTGCAGAGTGAAGCGGGGCCCTGAGACCCTGCGGCGAGGCCCCTCTGCGGTGGCCGAAGCCTGCTGTATCGACTTTCGTCCGGCTGGGCTGAATCGCAGTGAGCGCGGGCCCACACGCAAATAAGAGAAGTGGTATTATAAGTGGTGTGAGAATGTGGCGTGTTGACAAAGATTCGGTGTGAGCTATTTATTATAAGACGGCGGAAGCGTTCCGTCAGCGAGTGAGTGCGTGTGAAATAGGGCCGCCGAGCGACCGGGCTCGCGATTTGATGGTACAACTCGCAGCTCTTGTGACGGTCCCGATTCAGTGGTACAATCTGCTACTCTCCCGTGTCCGTGCGACGCCAGAACTGGACGCTCTACGCTGCCACTGGACAACGGCTGGAGTTGGTCTGGTCACTTCTGTCTGTGTGCTGAGTTAGACAGCCCGTCCCACCCCGTGTCGACTGAGAATTCTTCGGTCAGCGACTCAGGCCGCTTCGCCAGTCTGCGTGTGTGCCTCTGTGAGTGTGACTGTGTGTGTCTGTGTGCTCTCGATCAGGGCGGAGCGAGTCGCGTTGTTACTGTTTCACCACCCTGTTGCCGCGCCGAGTGTGCCGCGCGTGTGCCGCGCGTCTGCCGCCGGTTCAATGTTTGAGCCGTGCGGCTCATTCACGGCGCTTCATCGCGCGCGGCTGATTCGATATTCCACACCGGACACCGCGTGTAAATGCGACCGAGGCCCGTCGCGCCCGATCGCCGACCGAAGTTTGTTTCCATGATTTACGACTGTTCAGTGGCAGCGAGGCTTGGCTCTGTTGATTGATGCCGCGTGCGTGCCTGGTTTTATTAGTTGCCGGTATAGCCGGCACAAAGCGTGTCGGCTTTACCGTGTGATGCTACAGATCAGATTCGGACGCGCCACAGGCAGCGCGGTACGGTAGTCTATCTAGATTATATGCAAGTTCTCGATGACTGATTTGTTTTGTTTGTATCAAAACGGCAGCTATAAGTTGCCAGGTAGACTAGTAGCCCACAAAAACCATCGTTATTACCATCAAAATATCGGATATGTCGTTGAAGGGTGGGATTGGGAAGGTCGTCTGGATAATTAATAAACATTTCCCATTCATCATTTATCTATGCCGCGATTTGAACGATGTGTGTATTAACCCGGCAGTTGCTGGGGTATTTCGCCACCCACCGTTTGCTGGGGGGGGGGGGGGGCGTTAAACGCCCCCAGCCGATAACTCGAGAACCAATAGGCGCAGCGAAACGCACGAGGCCGCAAACGAAAGAGCGCGACGAGACGCTTCAGATGAGTACTTTAAAGTTGAATTTTGAGGTCACAGGTCGGGTCAAGGTCAGGTCAAACACCTGAAATCGGGCTTTCAGTAGCATGGACTTCAGGACTTCGCAATGGGCGCCTCTCGTCATAAACTCTGTCAAAACGGTGCACAATCCATCATATAAGGCCTACAAGAGTGTCAGCTCCATGTAGGGGTCAGTCAAGCATAGGTCAGGGTCAAGGTCAGGTCAACCGGGTAGGCACATATCCCCGAAAATCAAAACTGATATTCGCAGCCTGTGACACATGTTTTAGAGGTAATTTGGGGCGTAGAACACGATGGTGACATTCATTTTATCATATGTGTACGTGTTTGGCTCAAAAACTTCAATTTAAGAAATGCATGTATCATGGTCGTGAAGTAGTCACGAAAAATTGCCAAGATTCAGTTCAAGATCATGGAGAATGCGGAACGATAATCAATAATCGAAGATAGCCATTTGATTGATCATGGTATTGGCAGTCTAATGGCGTTTACGGCATGTCTATATGTCTATTCTGTGATTTTATATGATTTTTTGAACATATGCCGTTTTTGGTCGAAAACTCAGAAATCATGACGTCATTAAAACCTCGATATCTCAAAAATTTTCCGACCGATTTTTTTGAAACTTCGTCACAATAAACTTCAATTAATTCCCTACAGGTACCCATAATTTGGCGCGCCTGCGGCGCGCCGTTTTTATGCTATGGCCCGGCGAAAAAAGTGGGGGCGTTTAACGCCCCCCCCCCAGCAACTCGCGGGTTAACCCTCGCACGACCAGGCCATTTCTCATAACACGAACGACCAGGGGGGGGGGTTGTTACGACCCCCCCCCCCTGGCGTTTCGAAACGGAAGGTCGTAGAGCTTAGCGGAAAAAACCAACGGATTGCTCTCAACGAGATCTCGCGATTGGTGGTATATTTTTTGGTCCTACGTCAACATTTGACCTACTTATGACCGGTCAAAGGTCAAATTTTCCGAAAAAAAATCAAACTTTTTCAACTTTCCGCGGCGATTGCGGCAAAACGGTGGGAGGTATCGACTTGAAACCTTCACTATCGTGTTCCTTGATTAATTCTCTATCGTTTGGTATGTATTTCGTTTCCCTAGCTCTAAAAATGGCGCGTTGGGAGCGCCGGAAGTCGGCAAGGTCACAGTCGGCGGCAGAAATTCGAAAAATCAAAATTTAAATTTTTGAAATCTGATTGTATTTTTGGATTTGGGAGGTCCATTTGCTCCCTATAGAAGCTAATATTGCTGCATATTCCCATTGAGGTGACAAGAATTAGCAAAATAGTGGTTCGGGCGCTTTCAAAAATAGTACCGGACGCTGTTCCTCTTGTGACGTCATAGCTCCGTGACCTGACCTGACCCGGTCAATTTTCTTGCACCACACGATAGCCAATGCTTGCCCCAACATGCATGGGAAGTTTCATCATGATCCATCAAACAATGTGGGTATCACCGGCAGAAAACCTAGGGATTCGGCGCACACGTTTGGTAACTCTCGCTTGGAGGCTGTACCTCTTATGACGTCATAACTCCGTGACCTGACATGACCCGATCAATTTTTTTCGGCAAAAGATGCGCAAAGGTTGCCCCAGAGGGTATTGAAAATTTCAGCCCGCTACGACAAGCCGTTTAGCGTGCACTTCGAAAAAACCTCAGGGGGGGGGGGTTGATACAACCCCCCCTAGGCGTTCTAGGGTTAACCCTCGCACGACCAGGCCATTTCTCATAACACGAACGACCAGGGGGGGGGGTTGTTACGACCCCCTGGCGTTTCGAAACGGAAGGTCGTAGAGCTTAGCGGAAAAAACCAACGGATTGCTCTCAACGAGACCTCGCGATTGGTGGTATATTTTTTGGTCCTAGGTCAACATTTGACCTACTTATGACCGGTCAAAGGTCAAATTTTCCGAAAAAAAATCAAACTTTTTCAACTTTCCGCGGCGATTGCGGCAAAACGGTGGGAGATATCGACTTGAAACCTTCACTATCGTGTTCCTTGATCAATTCTCTATCGTTTGGTATGTATTTCGTTTCCCTAGCTCTAAAAATGGCGCGTTGGGAGCGCCGGAAGTCGGCAAGGTCACAGTCGGCGGCAGAAATTCGAAAAATCAAAATTTAAATTTTTGAAATCTGATTGTATTTTTGGATTTGGGAGGTCCATTTGCTCCCTATAGAAGCTAATATTGCTGCATATTCCCATTGAGGTGACAAGAATTAGCAAAATAGTGGTTCGGGCGCTTTTCAAAAATAGTAGGGAAGCCGGGGGAAGCCCGGGCGCGGGGGAAGCCCGCCCACCCCGTTTCCGGCTAAATTACTCACAATGAAATGCTCAACTGTTTGTCCTTTCAGCGTGGCAGCTAAGGTAACGCCAGCAAAAAAGTTAGGGCTCACAAAAATTGCATATTGTTAAAGTTATAGAGCAAAAATGATATTTTAAGGGTTTTTAGCTAAAAAGTGAGATATGTTGCACTGTTAATGTTATACCATACAGTACTAATATTTATACGAATGTTATGTAAGGACCGTTTAAAGGGACCCTCCCACCTTCAAAAAAGTTAACGAATTGGCATGAAAGTGATGTCGCTCGGTTCAGAAAGAGCAAAAACGAATATCTACCAAATTTCATCGAAAAATATTCACCGGTTTTCAAGATATTAGACTTTTACTTTTGTTTACTTTTTGGGATCTCCGCTGTTCCTAGCGACTTTATTTGAAAGTGCGGCATTTGTTGCGCGCAAAGCAGCATATACCACCGCGTGCTACCAAACGTTTTAGTAAAAGATTTAAAATCGTTAGATCTCCGCTGACGTCACAAATTCTAAGGGGGCATACCAATGCATTAGCCCCTTAGAATCCGAAAACTGCAAGTTTGAAATTCGATATCTCCGAATTAAAGCATTTTTCGATGTTGTGAGTGCCCAAACCGTTATTTTCAGGCCATGGCCACCAATTTGGTTATCTCAACTCAAATCTAATGTTAAGGTGGGAGGGTCCCTTTAAGTATTTTGTAGGGAGGGGTGACGAGGCAGGCTGGCTTAAGTATGACATTTTTTCGAACATCGCTGTTCTTAAATAAAAATTAGCATATTGGGGTAGCCCCGGGCGAGTGGCCAAGCTTACCCCCAACCGAGAGCAATGCCACTAAACCACTGTTTTCCATGAGATAATAGGTACTGAGCAGGTTTGGTTTACACCTAGATCAAAGATAAATTTCGAAAATAAACATGTTAGGGGAAGTTGGGGGAATGCCGAATACTTTTTTTCTGACGCCCGTAGCACGCAAGGTAGACAACATAAGCTATTCTTGTTGGCGTCATTCGAGAGGCCAGTCTTTCGCCTTTCAAACATACCAGGCGCATTTGATGAAATCGCATACCGTTAAGCGCACAAACTAAAAATATCAAAGAAGTGACTTTTTCGGCGTTGCCCCGGACTGCGGGGAAAGCCGAAAATGAGAGAAATGATCTACGGGGAATGCCGACATTGATGTTTTGCCATTTTATCTCAAACTTTATCCAGAATTCATCAAAGCTGACACGCGTTTGAGCTTGAGGACGCTTGGTGCACACTGGAAGTTATGATTGTGTGATATAATAAGAAAATGCCGGGTAAATCATTCCTTATAGGTAACAGGCCGTTGTGTGGGTTGAAAGTGTAATTTGTGACTAAAAATACGCGTTGCTATTCTACAGCAGCAAAGTCGACGTAGCGTGCTTTAACGTGCGTAATTGCACGTTTTCGGCATTACCCCAGCCAGCCATACTTTCATTTGCAGGCCCATAACTTATAAACGTGCTGTATAAATTTCAAATAGGCAGCACACTTATGCAAAGAGATGCTGAAGATAACATGACCGAATTGGCCAGACAAACGGTAGCATGATGAGTAAGAAATGCAGCTTCAAAGGCGCATGTAGTACCTACAAGGGAAACGTACCTTGAAAACGCTCTTGGCGCCCTCACGGCCGAAGTGTTCCGAATGACGACTCGTAACAAACATGCGATAATTACGAGCGAGCGAGCGCAGCGAGCGAAGTGAGTCTTTACGAGCGAGCGAGCGCAGCGAGCGAAGTGAGTCTTTTCAATATAACGGAAAAATCTCAGTATGAGCGGCCCGGCCCGGCCCGGCCCGGCCCGGCCCGGCCCGGCCCGGCCCGGCCCGGCCTGTAACGCTTTTGAGAGGCTTATATCTCAGCAACCGCTGGACCGATTGGCCTGCGGTCTTTTTTGTTGGGTAGCCCCATCCCTTCTACCCCGTAATTGACTACTTTTGATACATCTCAGTGACCGTCGTGGCACGTGCCACGTGAAAAGTCAAGGGTGTTCAAGCTGTTTTGCAAAAGTAGTGATTTTGAGAGGCTCATATCACAGCAGCCGCTTGAGCGATTGACTTGCGGTAATTTTTGTAGGGTAGCAGCATCCCTTCTACCCAAACTAGGATACTCTCGATGCATGTGGGTCACCCCCAGTGCACGTGCAAAATACAACAATAAGAGGTGCCAAATTTGTTCCCATTTCCGTAACTCGGTAATTACTGGGGCGATTTCGCTGAAACTTGGCATACAGGTAGGCACCCACCAGGCAATGCATTCCCATGTGTTGCGGTTAGGGTGCTACTGCACGTGCGCACGTGCAGGGGGCGTTTCCAGATCTCGAGAACGGCTGGGCCGATTGCGCTCAAATTTGGTACACGGTTGGGGACCAGTTAGTAGGGTGCCGTGCAAAAGTCATTTTGGACCCCGTTTGCACGTGCGCACGTGCAGAATGCCGCTTCCAGATCTCAGGAACG